AATTCAACTAATTTTCCTTTGTTAGTTTTAAGAAGAAAAGCACGAGATGAATATAATATCCATAATATGACAAACAATGAAAGAGCAGTTTCCTGGCTCTGCGACAGGTTTAACAAACAGGCTGACACAGTTAATAAAATAACGGTAACTTAGGAGGCTCCTCTGGAGCACAGAACTCAGGGACAACAACGGAGCTACACGCACCCAGGTCACTGAACAAAATATGAATGTGTTACTGGTGTTGGAAGCTAAGTTTCAACAGAGCTGCAGTGAATTATATCAGATCTGAAAGAGTTGAAATAATTTTAGAGCTACGAGGAACACTTGAAAAACTATAGGAAAGGTTATGCAAAACACCAAGGGCTAAGTATGGAATCTTAAAGTCCATTTACCATGCTTTAATCCAATTCTTACCCTGGTTGCAGTTGGTACCATAACAAATAGATATTGAATAAAATGTCTTCCATACCAGGAAAATACCACAAAGTCACTTACATTTAAAAAGTGTGATATAAGTGTATAACTTGGTGCATAACTATTTGCAGAATCAGACCTTAAACGGTAGAAATGCATTTTCCTTTTCATTATAAGGTTAAAGTTGTGAACGGCTTTATACCACTATGACTCCAAAAAAGAAGTCTAAACGTGACTGCTACAATCAGTTAAATCAATTATTTTTTTTTCTGCAAATAGAATTATAGCCCCAATATATATATCATCAGAATCATGGCAACTGATAAAAATTGCAATATTGTATGCATATGAAATAGATATTTTCAAAAACTTCAGAGCAACAAAAGAAACAAAACGGACTGAAACTAATGACTAAGACATTCCAGCTATTTAAAGAAAGTTGCTGGCAGGCTTGTAGATGGTCCATATAAGACTCCCACACTTCAGTCTTTCCAGACCTCCCACACTTCAGTCTTTCCAGACATGTTCTTATGCTTGATCAATTAGTGAAACTAGGGAGAGGTGATACTTTTGGAGTGACTGATGTTTTCTTATAATTAAATCAATCTGGTATATATCTTCCATACAGCATCCGCTCATGAAATGTTCATCTCCAAAATTGCACATTTTATGTTTAGATGGATGCCTTTGTAAAAATAAAAATAGAGGGCTCTTTAATTTCATAGAAATACAGTATCACAAATTCAGTCTGAGTATCATATTAAAATAATACTATGCAAATAGGCATGACAGTTAAATATGGTTTTAGAATAAGGCTGTTTAAATCAGTAAGTAAAATTTTAAAATGTCAGTCAACACACTGTGAAAAGAGAAAGCTCAATTTAATGAGGTTGGTCATTTCTAGCTTAGGTAGAGAAAAGGATTAGCACGTAGAGCATGTTAAGGCTGCCCAAATCTTTGTGTGGGTTTTTACAGGTATTCACTTTCATCTCAATAAAAGAATTACTGTACCAAATGCTGGCTTACATGATACTTTGCTGCTTATGGCACAAGACAGCTTCTTAAGAAACTTTTGCTGTGCTGCCACATAAAGGTCAGGCGCAGTTTACTGAGAACTGGGAAAAAAAAATCTTCAAAAAACCCTTGGCCTTCCTGACAAATCTGTGGTATAGTAGCACACACAGTCTTTTTTTATGGTTTGCCAAAGTACAGTATCAACCTTACTTTGACTAATTCTCTATGAAATGAAAATTATTGTAATACCAGTAAAGAAGATGCCTTCTAGCAATCACTGGCACAGTCAAGTGGAATTGCAAGAAGCAAAAGAAGGTTCTGGGTAATATACTAACTTCTTCCTTACAAGAATTTTTTTAAACTGTGCATAGAAGTCAGTGATTGACGGTAACATTTTCAGTCTGACTTAACTTACTTACTGTAGACTGCTATGAATTGAAAAAAGCATAGCAGATATAAGCACTAGCTCTGAGCAACACTTTTGCTTAGCACTAAGGCAAAGAGGTTTCTGCATAGCATTGAAAAATAAGTACAGCAAAACTCCACAGCTATATTAAATGGGGCCAGTATATACTTCAAGCTTCCCCAGCTGGAATTATTTTCTATCTCCCTGGAAAATGGATGAGAAAGTAAGAAGATAGGAGGTCACAACGGCCAGGCGCATACACAAATGTGCACCTAATCTTCATAAATGTGGGACTGAAGTAGATTGTACATATTTATAAATACAGAAACTTACTGTTGCTCAGCACATTCACTAAAATAAGTGCCCTTATTGCAAGCATTTCCCTTTTGGAAGTGTTGAGTACTGCCAGCCCAAACTACTGGACCAAATACACCCATTGCTCCTAGGAACTTGGTCCACTGAAATTTGAGAGAAAAGAATAATAACAGATGCTCTTTATTTGGCAGCAAAAAGTAACACAAACCTTAAGTGCAAATTATTGTCATACATGTAAGCATTATTAAAAAACAGATATAGACAAAAATCTATCATTTGACATTCTCTAAGAGATGATTTTCCCTTTTTCTGCTTGTATTTTTATGTTGAAGTATTTTTTCGAATCTTCCAAAAGTTGTGATGCTTTGAACTAATCTTGATATTAGCAAATGCTCCTACTACAAGTTTCCAGTGAGTTTCTGTTCATATCTGATGTAAAATTTGCTATTAGAAATAAAAAAAATCCAGCAGCTGCACTCTACTCATTTAATGGAAATTATCAGCTTGTGTATATTTATTCTGTTATTTACCCTGTATTTGACGAAAAAATGTAGGCCAACACACATTCCAGCCAATCAGATACAAAAAGTGTATTTAGAAATATGCCATACTTGAACTTTTCATAGTACGGTTTTTACAGTGGGATTATGAGGAATTCTTGGAAGACGATAAAGACTTTTTAGTTGGAGTTTTTTTTTTCCCCTAAGTCTCCAAAATTAAGCAAACACTATTTAGCAAATACGATGAGAAAGGAAAAGTTTGGAAATTTATTGAAGTCTACTGAAGAGAAGGATATTAATATAAGCAGCCTGATTCCAAACCACTCGCACATCACAGGTGTGAAAGTTATCAGTCCCTGAAGAGGGGAGGCCTACAGAGGCTGCTGAGCCTGGCAAGGACACGCGGTCCTGCCGGCACTGCTGCACGCAAGGTGCCAACCTCTCGGTCAGCAACAGCAACGTCTTTCAGCAGCACTGACTGTTCGTATTCAGTCTGAATCCACTGTCACCTCTGTATATATTCAGCCTGGATAGAAAGTCTTTAGAAACTGTACATAAGAAGTAACTTCTCCTATATCAATGTATATGTGATTCAAGCCTATGCTGATCACCATCATTTAAATGTGACTTTTGGGAGAAAACAGCTAGCTAGATCCAAATCCTTGGGTCTCATGCAGCTCATTACTATCTGGTGCTGATAGCTGAGGTCTAGAAAAAAGGAGAGTTAGTTTGTTAACGAATGGTGTTCCGGATATATTGGCAGAGAACAACAGTCATGAAGGAAACAGTGTAGATCTATTTATATTCAGAGCTTTCCTAATAATTGCCCGGGGAAAACAAGAAAATCCTCATTGTGCAGTAAGGAAACTGAGACAGAAGAGTTAAAAATGAAAAGCTTCGCTTCAGGAATACTAAATACTCACTTCTTGACAAAGTTAACTAAGCTGATAAGAAACAAGTGCCCTGCTATATTCAATGCTTATACGTTCCCATTTGAAATTTTGCACTAAAAACACAGCCAAAGTTTAGCTAAAACAACTTATACAAGACTACAGAGAGTCATTTTTAAAGCCCAGACTAGAACTCAGCTGGTTTTGGTTCATTAAACTATGCCCTTCCTCTTCTGAGATAAAAATTAACTATAAATTAGCTTTTCCTAAGCAGGGAAAGCAACTTGTCTCACAGATTCTGCAGGAGTCTGCAGCTCACAGTAATATACGTTGTTACTAATTACTGATTGAAATCCCTTTCAATGTGTTCATTTGGAATACCACAAAATGCATCTATAAACCTCTGAAATAAGTTACAGATACCCAGGTAATTCAGGAATAGCACACAGAGCTTGAGGTGTTTTGATGTGTGTAGGTTTTTCTGTTTGTTTTGTTTTTAAGTATTTTGAATAAGATGCTTATAAGCACTACCATTGTTTATTGTTTCAATGAGAATATAGGAGTTGGGACTTTATAGGACCTCTCTGTGCTGTTACAAATAAAGATATAGAAGCACTGGGCTACTTCAAGAGCCTGAAAGTGAAATTGACTACTCTGAACCACAGTTAAAGATATATTTACTTAAATGTGTTAAATATATGACAGAAGGCCTTCCAAAATCTATAGCATGGTTAGTCTTCTGCAAAAAACTAAGCTTCTGACATAACGAACTTCGTTGACAACCACTGTGATTTATGAGAAGAAGGACTTTCATTCCCTAGTAGTACAAGCAGTGACATTCAGAAGGACTTGGACATAAAACTTCCAAGACCTCACACTATTGCCAGTTTTGCACGTTCAAGTGAAACAACACTCCTAGTTCAGGATGTAAACCTAGCCTGACAGTCCTCCTACCAACTTTCTGTCCCAGCACAATACTTTTTCCTTGTCTTGGCAGCTGGGCCAAACAATACTCCCAAGTGCACAGCCACTTAAACCTTCCTTGTCTCACTCTGTAACATTCACAGTTAATGACACTGTGTTCAGGTTTTTGTAGCTTTAAATACTACTCAGAGCTTCGTATAAGCACCTATAATTCCAACCCTTAAGCACATGCTTTAGTTGTATGTATTATGCATAGTACCAGGTTAGCCATTAAGGCTTAAATGACAATACAAAGCTAAGAATGTCTTTCCAGGGTTGGAGCTCTAGTCTGAAATGTTTTCCTTGTGTAAGCTGCAATAATAAAGATAAGCGAATGAAATTTTCACAAACCTTTAAATTAGTTTTCTCAGTTATAAAGAGCAAGACAAGATTTAAGCAGACACATATGCATACATAAGCACATACATGCACATAGACAGACAGAGGTACATATATAAAGTTTCTGTGTAATCCAAAAGCTTGAGAACACTTGCTTACCCGTGCCAAAGTCAGCGTTCCTTGTTTACATACACTGCAGCGGACCCTCAGTTTCCCAGGTTTCACAGCTTGGCAGAAACTTTTGCAAAAAACATAAAAACTGTTGTAGCTGGCAGCACCTGTCAGGAGGGGAATAAAGACAACACTCAATTTATACTGAAAATGAGTAACAAACTGTAACAAAGGGTTTCTATCTGACTCTGTAAGTGATATGTAAAGAAAACAGGCTAACTAATTTTAAGGCCTGCAGACAGCTTTGTGATCATATTGCTTGGTCTACTTCTTAACACTTTCCATGATCTCCTGTTTCCTGATCAGTAGCTGCAGCTGCACCATAACCCCTGGAAAACACATCCTATCTTGAGTTAGAGCTTGCCACTGACGAGCACTCACTGCAATCTCTGGCAAGTGATGCATGTGATTAATTACCCCAACAGTTCATAATTTGTGCCTTATTTCTAGTCTACATTTGTCTAGTCTCAAGTTTTAGTGAGTCCAAATTGCATGACAGATTTCTTGGATCAAGTTTAAAAGATTAGTTTGACTGATAATACAATAAGGAAACAAATATTTAGTTTAGCAAATTTAGTTTTATACATGGAAGCCTGAAAACCATTTCTTTATTCTTGCTGGCAGCTGTATAACCTAGCAAAGTTAGCAATCTGCTGCCGAGATATTAGGCCAAGTACATTTTCAAGGAAAATGAAATGAAGCACATTTTATTCTGTCAAACTATAGAACAGAATATGATATGCAGAGCATTGCGTAAGCTTGGAGCAATGCTAATTATTTGATTTCATGTGCAAGCCTGGCTATTGCTTTGAGTAAGCCACCTTTTAGGGTGAATATTGTTATTCCTCAGAGAACAATGGAAGATTCACAGCATGTTGGTTTTAATCTAGACTAGCCATCTCTAGTTCAGAGACTCAAGCTTATTATCAGAAATTGAGCTGAGCTCAAAATAAAAATTTCCTCAGATTTCTCCCAATATCAAGAGGAACGGTTGTGGAGCTCTGCCTTATTAACAACAGTGAACTTTAGGATCCACAGGAATCCCTTAGAGATCAACAGTTTCCCATTGTTTTCTTCCCCATCTTCCTACTCTTCCGTACATTTTTCAGCAATATAATGTTTAAGTAAATTTGTAGCCTATTGTATTACCACAGTAAATATCATCTCAAGTAATATTTTTAAACACGACTGAATTGCTTTATTTTGATATGTCCTTCAGAATGATAAGACTGTGCTGTGAATGAAAATCCCTAGCAATCCCTACCAATTCCAAGCTACACCTATTCATAGGTGTCCCAACAGGACAACAAGTGCAATTAGTTTCCAGAACTCAACTTCACAGAATTATGTTGTCAAATGCAATAGAATCTAAGAAAAAAGACGTAGACGTCTTCAAAGAACATTTACACTGCTGAAAGAACAAATTTTGTAACACATATTAAAAAGCATGCCAAACCTTTTCCAGGCCTACAGAAATATAAACCACGTGTCTAGAGGATGTCAGTGATGTCTCCAATATTAACTTAACTCATCTATCAAGCGCTTCATTATGCTATCATTATGCTTCCCTGGGAAATATTAATTGCCATAAAGCATAACAGAATTATAACTAAATTCAAATTTTGTGGAAAATGAACACACATCCATCCATTCACACACATACACTACTGCAGTACATTAAATGAAATCATGCTCTTCTCATATGAATAAGTGCAACTCAAGCAGTTGAGAGCACACTTCTCAAATCAGTCTGTAACACAGATCTGAGATGAAGATGGTTCAAATAAAGAAAAAAAGGCATATGCTGAACTACTCAACATATAGTACAAAGTTGAGAAGGGAATCCAAACCAAGTATGACAATTTTGAACATCTGGATCCCTGTTCATTCATATTTTGCTTGAGACTCATCACACTAGGACCAAAAAGGGCACTTCTGGATTAGACCCCATTTGAACTAGAATCGACAGCCAAAATCTAAATTATTGCATTGCAAATGAGAAAGAGCGCACTGGCAAATGATTGCCCTTTCCTTTTGGCAGTTCCACTAGGCAGGATCAGCACAAAACTGAAAGCAAACAAAAACACAAAGATGGTAAATTTAAAGAACATTAAATTTAGCACAATTAAAAGGAAGTATTTCATGATTTAAGTAAGCAAGAATGCTATTGCTAAAAGAGGCCATCAGTATAAACAGAGTCATTAGAGACACTTACTCCTGACTCAGTTTCAGCTGTACAAAGACCAGCTGTAGCAAGAGGTCAGACCAGGGCCCTTTCCTGGGCCCTGAAACCTGGTGGGTTTCATATCCCCACCCCTGGATACCCTGGGGGTGTTTTGCTCTGGTTTCTGTATGGGCTATGAGACCTAATTAAAGTGCTGCTTTTACTCATGTGCAGGAGCGCTCATCCTGAGCAGATCTGTGAGCCACTGCTCACTCTCCTCGTTCAGTCCTACTCTTTGGATGGATTCCTGCTACGACTAATGAAATCCTTTCAGTCAAGCAGAACCATGCTATTAAGTACATGAGCCCTTATGGAATAAAATATTCTTGTTAATTGGGCTGATGTTTTTCCTGATCCAATCCTCCTGATGTCTTGTGTCCCTGTCTCTTACTTTATACCAACTTTATTTCAAGTCCTAAACTAAGGGCAGGAATCATGCTTTCTGCCTGCTTAGTGTTCTAAGCTCATTCCATCTGGGCCCAAAGATAAAATTATATTATTGATAATACTCTGCAAAATATTCGTAGGATAGTATGGCATAAATCAGCATGACTGAATACTGCAGTAAAAAATAGCAGTCATAGGATAGGCCTGGAATGAGGCATACTGCTGATTTACTGTAGAGGATAAATCGTGTGTGTTAGCTTGATATTTACTCCTTGCGAAAATAAACTACGTTAGCCCAATTTTTTTTTCTTAACACTTTCCTTTTTCCCCTCCTCCTTTCTCATGAATATAAAAAGTACCCCATAAACACATCCCCAATGTACAAATTCAAAACACAAGAAATAAATTTATAATATAATTGGTTGGAGCAGTTAAGCAACATAGACTGATGCAGAGACCCAGAATAACTTTTGAAATGTCCCCCACAGCAAGGCTTCTGGAGAGGCAGAGCGCTACAGGAAGAGTGCTCTGATTTTAAGGGGAAAGGAATAAATGGAGATTTTCAGCAGTTCGTCCACCATTTTATGCAGGTAGGTTGATACCAGTCTCACAAAGTGCAGTTACACCATGAGGTGCATGTCCTAAGCAGCATCACCAGGAACAGGGCAGACTGAAGATGGAATTCAACATGCAAATGCTGGACACTGGCATATTGGAGCACACTGAAGCCCAGCATTAAACTCCTCACTGACTTGTTAATGTCAGTGGGAATCTTCGCATAACCCTTGACGGAGACGGTATCCCCTTGACTCCCTTTTTAGAGGGGAACTGAAAGAAACAAGGACAAAGAAATCTGCTTTATGCACCAGCTCTGACGTAGCAATACTAATAAGAATTGTAATTATGGCACCATGCCAGTAATCATTAAAATTGCTGCAGCATCAACCTTACAACCTCGACTTTTCTCATTCAATCATGGTCAATAGGTTTTCATAAAACTTTCCATTAATATTTTATAACACTGGTACTCAGCAAGAATGTGCAGACACAGCAAATTATAAGTAAAATAAATGACTTCCTTTTTTAAGCACTGGTTCTGCAACTGAAGGTGAGCATTAACATCATAAATAAATTAAATCATAACTACTAGTCTGTTTTGTAGTTATATGTAATTAAGTGGATGGAGGAAGACTGAGGGAAAGAATCAGTGTGCTGTATCTGCAATTATTGTTGTCTGCAGTCTCAATTTTTAGGTCCATATTTTACATATCTATATGCCTGGCCAAGGTACCTTAACAGTCTCTTTCAATCATCCGTCATTCATATGTTGGTCTGGGCATCTGCTGTTTTACAGCTTTACCACACCAGCTGGTATGCCAACATGTCTTTTGAAAAACCATTTATCCAAATTTCTACCATTACATGCTCCTTATCCGTAAAGATGGTGCAACAAGGATCAGTCATTGTCTTGAGAAGTATTTCAATTTAATTTACCATAAACTGAGATCAGTGCCACCAGGAAGATGACCTTACAGACGTGAGTTCTCACAGGTGCAAAAGCATTTTTCAGCACATGAACGTAAGAAGTCATCTCCAATACAACAAGCTTCAGATAAATCTGACTCAGAAACACAGAAAAAAACCTTTCAGTTTATTCAGTTAGCAGCCAAATGAATCATTTCCATTTGCATTGGTAAGTTCTTCTCATAATTTGTTTCAAAATAGCAAAAATCATTTTATGCTCAACTGCCTGGCAATACTGGTCTAGCTTTCTTGCCCTCTGCATGCTGTGAGCATGGGACTGAATCTCTCAGGGAAAGTAAACAACGTCTCCTTTCTGGCATCCCAGGAAATGAACAACCTCCTTCCTGCAGTGATCTGTTCTAGCACTTCAGTATCTTTACCATCAAAAAGATATTTCTGTTTAGCTTTAATTTTCTATGCTGCAATTAAACCATTCCTTCCTCTACTTTCCTCCATAGATATGGAAAATATTGGGTTTTTTTTCTTTGCAGTAGTTTTTTTATATTGGTTTTGTCTTCCTTGGGGGTAGTCAACCCCAATATGGTTGACTCTTTTCTTATAAGTAGTACTCTCTAGAGTTCAAAACATTTTTCTTGGACTTCTCTCTAAGTGGTCTTAAGTGCAGCTCCCAAACTTGACCTGAATTCCAGCTAAAGTCTTTCTACTGCTGAGCACAGTAGTTTTTAAGGCATCTTACAGGTCATACTTCTGTTTACATCTTCCTGTGTAATATTTCCCTTAACCTGACGGGTATAACATTTTTGGTTCCTGTTCAGTCTGCTCTACGAAGAACCTTTGAAGCCCTGTCTGCTTAATCTGTTGAAACCCATTCTGCATTTGTGTGTCTGACTACTGCCAGTCATATGCAATTCTTTGAGCTGAGCAGGGGTAGCATGGTATTTTTTTCCATACCACACTTCCAATTTGTTATGATCATTTTGCATTCTAATGCTGCCCTCCAGTTTATTGGCA